TAGAGAAGCCTTTGAGAAATGCATTTTTTTGTGAAAATACATATTCTGAGCTCTAGCGAGCAATCCATGTGGGACTAGCACAGACCCAGATGGTGGCTCCTTCAAGCGATTATGTTTCTGCCTTAAGCCTTTCCAGGAATTTGAGCGTGGGCAGGCTGCCAGTGGACACTGGCTACCCAGACACTTGAGCAATGTTCCATGTGTTCTGTTTGCCAGGGATACCAAAGTCCAGCTGCTGTCCCCAATCTCCTTTGTCCCCTGTACCTCCTTGCCATAAACACACACACACACACCCTGGGGAGAGAGCAGAGAGCCATAAATACACACATGCACACACGCATGGCAGGGGAGGGAGCAGAGATTGAGAGATTGTCCAGAATTTCCAGCTGTTTTGCAGAACTTATAAATTCTCATAAAAACCTTCCAATTAAACAAGGAAAAGGAAATCTCAGAGCCAAGAATTATTTTAATCTTGCAAAATAAACATGCAAATTATAAATGGTAGACCATGCCTGAGAGTGTAGGCAGAATGAGAATATGATTTTGTGACAGGAAAGGAAAAATAAGTGAACCTCATGCTTTACCTTTGGGCAGACCTTTGGATCTAATTCTTATGTTTCAAGCAGAATTGGTTGCATCTTTCTTGCTGTTACTGTCATTTAAGTTAAAATATTAGGTAAAAACTTTCTAAACACTGAAGACATAGTGGGCTGATTTTGTTTCAGTGAGAAGTGGGTGCCCACTGTTCTGAAAACCTAGCTGCTGATCTCCTAAATAAGTTAGAAACATAATTTCAGGTAGCCAGACTTGAAAATTTTGGCTAACGTTTATAGTTCTGGGAGAAATTAAACAAAATTGGCAGTTTGTTTCCTCCCCCATTAGCTTGTTTGCTCCTTCTACTCCAGTACCTGGAGCAGTGATACTCACCAAGGGTGTCATGAGGTCCTTTGAATGGTATCTCAAGGGGTGAGGAGATAAAAAAGATAAGCACGTATTAAGGCTTGTCTCTGCCTGGCTTGTCCCCCACTCCCACCTCCTGGCTCCCTCTACAAGGAAGTTAAGACCTGTAATATATAAATTCGTTTTTGAAATTGGGTACTACTCAATTCACAAAAGTTACGGAAGGGTTCCTCGACTCCAGTGAAGGGTGCCTTGATTCCAAAAAGGTTGGAACCACTGATGTAGAGATGATGGGAAACTCTTTGGTTACCTCTGTGATCTCTATGAAACACTTGTGAAAAAAAAATAAACAGTACCTTAAAGCCATGTAAGTCTCATCTGGCTTCAGATTCCATTACTGTCTCCAACCCAACATCATGTTGATCAAAAAGGTTTGCTAAGCTCCAACCCCACCTGAATGACTCTAGACTCATTTATGGTTTTTCCTTATAGGTAGAAATACATTGTTATGCATAAATTAATTACAAAAGCAGTTGATATTTGGTTGTTTTGAAGGAGTTTTGTTTTGAGTTTTGGGGCTTACTCAAACCCAAAATTCAGGGGGTGAAAACCTTTTTGAGTAGCAGCAGAACAAAAAAACCCTGCAAACTGAAACTCTTGAATTTCACTTGACTCTTCCTCTACTAGATTTGAGACAGAGAATCTGAATCCAAAGCTCCTCAAAGTTGTAGAACATCTAAATCTGGGGATCTGGTTTGTGCATTATATAAATTAAGGATTCATCCCTTCTCCAAAGCTGGGTTATATTTAGAACTGGGGTTTGGATTCAGCCATATCTCAGCTTTAGTTATGAAGGCAAATATTCCCCTCTAGGTATGTTTAGATCCTTTGGAATAAGGCCTCTCTCTACAAGAGATCAAACAGATCAATTCTGTCAAGCGTCCAAGTTCAATAGGAGCTCATTATAAAAATAGGAGGAACACCATGAATATGTAAAACAGGTTCCATCCCAGTGCTTCTGTGCAGCTACCTAAGTCTGGGAGAGTTTCTGCCAAGGTTTGCTGCCCAGGATACAAAACTACAGTGAGCTAAAGTTAACTACCGATGACTGCGCAAATGTAGCTTGGCAATTTTATTTTTAGTTGAACTTAAAAATAAAAATCTGTAAGTCATATCTAATAGAATAATTTTAGCTGTTGCCAAGACAGGCTGAGTAACTGTTACAAAGAGTGATAGCTGCAGTCCAAATAACGGGGCTCTTGTCTCCTGCCTGCCCTTGTCCAACTGAGTCTGCAGTAGTAATGGATTCCCTGGCTCACTGGCAAGTCTGTAGGACTGAGCACATCAGCCTGGATTGTGCAGGGAGCCACTTCTGAGAAGAGGCTTTCAAATAATTTTTAAGTGATCACTATTTTAAAGAAAAATGTTATGCTTTATTATGGACAGAACCAGAATTCTGTCCTCTGTGACCAACATTAGCATTATGTACAAAACCAGCTTTGCGTCTTTACTGATTTCTCATGTATTAACTGGGGCTTAGTGAACTGTGAGGTCAGCAGTGCTTATACCTATTTTACAGATGGGAAAACTTGAAGCATGGCAAATGCCAAAGTGATTCACCCAGAGCCATACAGCTGGGCAGTGTCAATACTCATGCCTGATGGGAACCCAGCTGGCCTTGGTTTCGGTCCCTTGCTGTTACCAGTTAGATCACCTTGTTTCTCTTAGCTGTAACTCTGCCTGGGCCTTGGCATAGAAGTTAAATGACTGTTGCTGCTTTAATTTGAGAACAGCTTCAGAACCTACAAATAACTTGTCCACTAGCCTCTGTCAGCTTACTTTTATTTCACACTAGTAAACTGCTCCTATAGAGTCATGAAGCGAAAGCACAGCAAACTGTTTTTGTCGGGTCTATGCAAATAGCTGTGGTGGCTTATTTAACATTTATTAATTTTTCCAGCCATGAAATGGCCCATTTAAAAAGAAAAATTACCCCACACCATTAGAATACTTTGGGCCTTTCCCTTAAGACTATAACAGCTCTGAGGCACATCAAATCTAAATGAGGGCCTTGAGGTTTTAATCTCAGTCTTCCATGTTGTCATACCTCCATGTAAGAGGTATATGGCAAGCTTATTGTTCATGCCTTGCATTATGATCACTGATCAGACATTTGTTGAGGAGGGGAAGAAGGGAAACAGAAGGAATGTTACTTTCCATTGTATAAGAAAACTGTCATTACTGATCAACAGCATTCACATTTAATATCTGTTACACCATCTCTTTCCACTGAGTCTTCCTCTCACATTGTTTCTGTTTCTCATGCATAAAATAATGCTGCTGTTGTTCAAAGTCCTGTAGTGTGAGGCGATACATTTCTGAACGCCCACCCTTGCATATCTTTAAAAAAGGCAGCAGTACAGGTGCTGAACAGTAGCTGAATGGGGGCGAGAAGAGTTTCGTTTTCTGTAAAGTTTCAATCATGAAACAAGAACAGGAGTGCATAACTTTGGGGGGGGAGTACTTTGAATTTATTTAAAAAAAGGGACTAATCACTGATATAGTTTCATAGATGTTAGGGGCTGAAAAGGACCTCACAGATCATTGGGTCCAGCCCCCCTGCACCTGGGCAGGAAAGACTGCTGGGATCCTCTGCTCCCAGCAAGGTGGGTGTCAAGACCCTTTTTAAAGATTGCCAGGGTGGGTGACTGTAGCACCTTGGTCACACTGTTTTCTTTATCAGGAAATGATAGGATTTAGGGAGACCTTGTCCCTTATCTTAATGATGGCAGAAGCAATTTTCTACCTAAGTAGGGCAGCGGAAGAGGTGACACTTTGTTTCAAACCTATATAAATACAGGAGCCTTTCAATTCCTGAGCAACCTACAGATTTGGCGCTTTCCTCTACCCTGTCTAGCAGGAGTGGCCAGTCTCAAACACCCCAAACCCTCTTAACATGGGTCACCTTCAGATCCAAATTCAGATCTGAGCTGTACTGCTGTGCTCCCTGCCTGTGGCTTTCTGACTGAATTGTGGCCTCCAAGGTGGAATGCTTATTCCGGTTCTTGTTAGAGAGCCGTTCTCATTGACTTAGGAAATGCCCTGCCCCTGCACTGGTGGAAATGTGTTTGTTACACACACCAGCTGTGTCTCATAGCTCATTGGTTGCTAAGAAACAAGGAAATTTGATCCAGTAGGCACTACATCTAGGGCCATCATCATGGTGGTGTATAGTTTAAACAGGCAGGTACACTGTGACCTATACAGACAGATATGGATGTCGGAGACCAATTATTTTGCAGAGTAGCGTTCCACCAGGTCATTTTCCTATGAGCAGCCAATAGCAGAGGGCTTCAAAAGTAACAGAAACCTCATTAAAAATCTGGCGTAGAGCCATCTTTGGCTTTATGCTGTTGCTGTAAATAAATGGCTTGGCTGGGGTTCATTGCCAAATGAGTAGATGAAGGGCACTTGTGTCTCATTGTAATGAGCCATGGCTGGAGACAAGAGGAAAAGGTAACTGTTTACAGTGCAGACCAAAGCAAAATGAAAGCCTTGTGTTGCTCACTCAGAGGTCTAAGAGGCTACGAGAAATGCATCTTCCTTCTGAACTACTGAAAGCTACTAGTTGCTAATGTAAATATTTTTCCATATGTGTTCTTCAGATCTCCCTGTCATGCAACATATGAGATACTACAGTGATCCCATGTTGTAGGACGTGCTAGGATGAGATTGTCCCTTTTGTTTTTTAAAGGTGGAGGGCAAGTGTGTGGGAGAATGACATATATATATTATATGGAAACACAACACTTTTTCAGAAAGGGAGAAACAATGAGCCTTGAGGTGTTAAAAAGTTACCACACTTTACTGCAGAAAAGTATGATCTTTGAGTTTTGATTGCCCAATCTGTTAATAATTTTTATGATGTATTAACTCAACGTGGCCAGTGGTTTCACTGCTTTTAAAGTAGAGCTATAATCTGATCCTAGGAGTGTTTGCAGCACTGAAAGTCTGTTCTTAATTTTGTAAAGATTTTTCTTTCTCCTGAACTGATATTTTGATTTCCCTTTCCTTCCCCCCCAACTCATGTCTCATTCCAGAATCCAGAGCAGCTGTTGGAGGATTGTGCTCACAAGGAGATGATTCCTCATGAAGTCACTGGATCCCCTTCAGAAATCAAATGTGACTTTCCATTTATCAGACTGAAATCTGAACCAGCCAGACAGTGAAGCAAGAGCAGTGGAGGGGGGACGGCGAAAGATGAAATCCAACCAAGAAAGGAGCAATGAATGCCTGCCGCCCAAAAAGCGAGAAATCCCTGCCACCAGCCTGCCTTCCGAGGTGAAGCCGTTAGTCCTGCCAAACGAGAACCACCGTGCAGATAACTTAATATGGCTCTCCAGCACGTCCAGCAGCCAAAGCAGCATGGGTGGAAGGCACAGACCTGGAGGGACTTCGGTGGAGATTGGTTTACAGCAGGGCTTACACAAATCACTGTCCACAGGAATGGACTATTCCCCACCCAGTGCTCCCAGGTCCGTTCCAGCCACAACAACACTTCCCACGGTGTATTCACCCGCACTGTCACAATCAGGGACGCCTGTCTCCCCTGTGCAGTACACGCACCTGCAACCCACTTTCCAGTTCGTTGGGCCCCAGTACAGTGGACCATATGCCGGGTTCATCCCCTCCCAGCTGATTTCCCCGACAGCCAATTCCGGGACTGGCGCAGCAGCCTCTGCCACTGCTGTTGCAACCACTCCATCCCAGCGCTCTCAGCTGGAGGCTTATTCCACTTTGCTGGCCAGCATAAGCAGCTTGGGCCAGCAGGGGCACAAAGTTGAGCAGCATCTCGTCAGGACACCGGGGTTGATTTCAGCAGGGTCTCCTCCTCCTACCCAACAAAACCAGTACGTCCACATTTCCGGGTCTCCCCAGAGCGCGGTCCGAAACGTCTCTCCTCCGACCATCCCAGTCCATATGCATCCCCACCAAACAGTGATTCCACCCACACTCACCCTTGGGCCTTCCTCCCAAGTGGTGCTGCAGTACACAGACTCTGGGGGCCACTTTGTCACCAGGGATCCCACCAAGAAGGCAGAGAGCAGCCGGCTGCAAGCAATGCAGGCCAAGGAAATTCTGAACGGAGAGCTAGAGAAAAGCAGGCGGTATGGCCTTTCACCCTCTGCAGACGTGGGTCTAGTCAAAGCAGGCAATAAACCAGCTCCTCACCATTACGAGACCAGGCATGTGGTGGTTCACCCAAGTCCTGCCGAATACAGCACACGAGATTCCTCCAGTGTCCGGGCCTCTGTGATGGTCGTACCAAACAGCAGCACACCTACCGCAGATATGGAGGTCCAGCAGGCCACCCACAGAGAAACCTCTCCCTCAACCCTCAATGACAAGGGAAACTTGCATTTAGGAAAGCCAGCCCACAGGTCCTATGCTTTATCTCCACAACAGACTATGGGCCATGAGGGGGTGAAAACAATCGCCACCTTGTCCCCTCATACTGTCATTCAGACCACCCACAGCGCCTCTGAGCAAGTCCCTGTCGGACTGCCTGCCACGGCCTTCTACACTGGGACCCAGCCGCCAGTAATCGGCTATCTGAGTGGTCAGCAGCAAGCGATTGGTTACCCTGGAAACCTGCCACAGCATCTGGTGATCCCTGGCACCCAGCCTCTGCTTATACCAGTCGGCAATGCAGACGTGGAATCATCAGGAGTAGCACCTGCTATCGTCACTTCATCTCCCCAGTTTGCAGCAGTGCCTCATACATTTGTCACTACCGCCATTCCTAAGAATGAGAATTACAGCGTCGAGTCGCTCGCAACCCAGCCAGCCTACCAGGCAGCCGTGGTGCAGGCCCAGATCCACCTTCCCGTCGTGCAGTCTGTCGCTTCTCCGACAGCAGCTCCTCCGACACTGCCCCCTTACTTCATGAAAGGGTCGATCATTCAGTTGGCTAATGGGGAGCTGAAGAAGGTAGAGGACTTAAAAACAGAAGACTTTATTCAGAGCGCAGAAATCAGCAGTGACCTGAAAATAGACTCCAGCACCGTGGAGAGAATTGAAGACAGCCATAACCCAGGCATTGCTGTGATACAGTTTGCTGTTGGAGAGCATCGAGCACAGGTAATAAGTGTCATCACTAGAGGGTACAAGTGGAATGAGAAACATGTTTGCTTCCTAGGAACAACTTACTTTAAGGTGATTTGCTAGATGGGGTTGGTGCGGGGAGGTTGGTTTAGTTCTTCACTAATCCTCAATTCTCTAAACCAGGGCTGTCTGGCTGGTGGCCCATGACTAGTTAAATTGTGGCCCCTGTGCTCTTGCCTGGCTGCCATCCCCCCCTCGCTCTGGCTACAGCAGCAGCTGGGGCCTCTGGGCTTCCCCTCTTCTCCAGCTGCTGCTCCCTGGCTCCCCTCAGAGGGGGGCGGCAGCACGGCAAGCTGCGTGGGGAGCTGAGGGTGAGTATGAAGCTACGCAGGAAACGGAGGGGGAATGGGGCCGTGTGTGAGGGATCGCACCTGCATAGTGGGGGGCTTGGTGCAGTGGTGTGGGGAGTTGCCCACAAGGGCACACTTTGCAGTAGGGGGAAGCAAAGGGGAATTGCACTTATGCATTGCAGTAGGGGGAGGGAATTGCACTCACGTGCCCATGTGGAGCTGGTGTGTGTGCCTGGGCACATGGTGCAGTGGGATAGAGAGTGTTCACACGGCCCTGTGGCTCAGCTGGTGCAGCCTGCGCTGCATGTGGCCCCCGGAGTCTTGGAAGCTGGACCTCCCTGCTCTAGACATTACTATTGAGCCCAAGGAAGACAGTAAGCACCATACAAATACATAGGGATAAAACAGATCTGGTTTCAAGAACTTTGAGCACACAGAGTTTAGAGTCCCCAGTCCATCGCCCTATCCACTGAACTGCCCATCTAGCTGTTGGTAATATTGGGTACCAGGCCCTTCACGCTTTATCGACTAGATTAGAACCATGAGCTCAGTGGAGATGATTAAAATGCTCAGTATACATATTTCACTCTGAGAGCTGATTTTTACTTCTCACTAATTCTTGTTCCAGAATGCCGCAGTACACTTCAGTCTGAAACAAAAACTAGCTTGGAGGGGTAGGGAGGGGATGAGGCAGTGAATTTCCATGGCTTGAAAACTTGGAGCTCTCCTGGAATGGTTTCATTTGCACAGTTAAGCCACTGAAACAACACAGAGTTTCATTCAGGTTTCAGCTACAAGTGGTTTAAATACTGCCTAGCTGGCAGATTGTGTGTCGTAAGGAAACTTCACAAGAAAAATGACCACTATGCCAAGGCTACCCATGCTCCTCCACTTCCCTACAGACCAGTGTGTGTGTGTGAGGTGGGGGGTGCATTTTAGACCCAGAATGTGTTAATTGGAAATGGTTACCTCCAGTATCTGAGTAGTTCAGTGTGGGATAGATTAAATTAGAGAGCAATTTAGTGCACAGAAATATTCATGTTATTTTTTAAAAACAAAAGCATCTTGGTGCACATTGTTTGGATTTGGTTTTAAAAGCAGTGGAGTGGAGAGCATGAGAGTCAGAAAGAGACAGGGACTGGAAACTGAATGGCTTTAGTGCTGATGTCTGGGAAGGAAAACAAAAGAGCGTTGTTGCCGTGTGATAAGAGCTTTTACCCTGTTTCAGTTTTAATAGGAAAAGGTCCTTGCTTCCAGAGCTGTTTACATTGCACAGTTACGTTCCTACCTTTAAGGTAACGGAGCCTGCAAATTAGGTGTGTAGTTGTTTCACATTTACAAATCCATTACACAGTGAGAACTAGGGCCTCTGGTGCTGTTGGTAATTCATGGAAGGCACTCAAGATTTGCTTTTCTTATCATGCAGTTTTGACTGTCACTTTAAGAAACCCAAAAAGGAGCTTTGGTGTTACATTTTTTATTGACAGCCTCCTATTCCTGGATAGTTTCATTACTATGTAGTCTGAAAGCCTCGAGTCTCCTGTCAGGCTTCGTGCTCTGAGGAAGAATCCCTGGATCAGAACCAGTTGTTACAATTTGCCCCAATGCTTTGAATAATGAGGTTGCAAAATAGTAATCTTCCATCTGCAGTTTCCATCTTGTTCTCATTTGTCTCCCTCTGCAGCCAGACGCCGGGTCTCTGCACCAGCAGAAGATGTACAAATTAGTAGGCATCATTTGTACAGGGTTTTGTTCACAGATATGTCACTGCAGCCACTGCGTTGTGGTGTTGCACACTGGGAAGGAGCTACCTTGCAGAAGGGTAGAGTGCCACCTTCCGGCTAAAAGCATGTTGAGTTTGCAGGCTGTGAAAACAAAGCTGCAAGTCACAGTCTCCTCCAGCGAAGTGTCACCTTATCGAGAAGCCTATCAGAATCAGGCTGACATCATCAGAGTTAAAATACTCCACCAGCTGTGTTTCCCACAAGGGCTGCTTCCAGAATTCAGAGAGAGTCACGTAGAGATATGATTAAAATGTGGGTTTAATTTAGGTTTCCTGCAGATTCCAAAGCTTGGGTCTCTTCCCAGATCAGCCGTATTCTGTATAGTAGCAACTGCTCTGCTGATTTCTCCTTGCCTGGTTAGAGAGATATTGCATCCTAGTGTGTTTGAAGTCTCCGATGACTTCATCCTCAGTCTAATATATGGATAAGTATGAACAGCATCTAACCTTGTTAGCAGACATACAGTCTTTCTGTTTGTTAGAAAATTTACTGGGTGCAGAAGACTTAATGTAGTGTTGAAAAAACAGCCATTTTTCTTGCCTCACATCTGTAGAAAAGGAACAGCTTTACATTCTGATATTCCTATATATATAACACATACTATCTCCCAGAATATGTTGGAAGAAGTACACATATAAATGGGGGCTAAGTATAATAAAAGTATGACTCTGTATTGTAGTTTTATTATTGTTTTTTCCCCATTTATCTGTATACTCTCCCACTGTAATCTAGGTTCTAATTATATATATAAAATATGAATACTGATTTTAATATCCTATAGAATAATCAGCTACCACTCACATGTACTCCTGCCAGGCATTCTGGGAGTTAATATGATTTATACATAGCAGAACGTGGAGCTGGGAGTTAACTGTAACAGCGATGAATCCACCTACAGAGTATGTACAAACTTCGTATAATCCTAATGCAAAATTTACGAAATAGGCAGCAGGAAAATTTTGTCCCCTCTTTGCAGATGTTGAATTCTAGAAAGAAAATCAGTTCAATGGGAGATGACCTTAGGGGGTCAGAAATGTCTGGGTCCTTTCCCATGCTCAGTAAACCTGATTCCACTGCTCTCTGTTATAATCATATCATTTCTTCTTATTGAACCAAATCGTACAAACCATACTCTGTCTTCTGCAGACCTTATCCCTTTGGATTCAAATGAGAGATTTTCTTGAGAAAAGACCTACTGATTTGGCTGGTTATTTATAGTCCTAAACGTTCCTCTTGTAATAGGACACACATCATTATAACCTGGCTTTTCCCTTGGCTGCCAGGGACAGTCTTAAAAAGGAAACAGAACTTGTTAATAAATCACCTGTATTTACACCAGTAGAAGCAAAATAACTCTTCTAAAGTGTTGTTTTGTTTTCTGAGGTTTGGTTCCTGATTATTTCTTGGAAAAAACAGGCTACAATGTCATTTTCTCATGAAGCCAAAGGAAAAAGAAAAAAAGGGAGAGGTGGATGCATTGTTCACTCTCTCAGCTTTTTAATAGAATCATAGAAGTTAAAGATGGAAAAGTCCTGGTAGGTCATGCAGTCCACCCCCTGCCAGTTTAGCATTGTTCTTTAAAGTACATTTTCTAGTGCTTCATCCAATTTAGCTTTCCATCCATTTCTCTGCACACCCAAACTGCTCGTTTTCACTCTCATTTGCTCTCCACTTTACATTATCTTTGGCACTGTAAAAGAAAAAAGAGAGAGAGCGAGAGAATTAGACTCATGTTCATGGCTGCAGATAGAAAGCTCTTGCTGCTGTTCTCTTGTGTAATCTGTCCCCCATTGTGTTCTGGGCAGAGGGGCAGTAATTTTATATTCCTGTGAATGACAGGGAAGCTGTATTATTAGTTTAAATGTGTTGCTCTGTACTGTTAACTTCTGAAAGTGCAGCACTCGAGGCCCTGTTTGGTAATTTAACCAGCCAGTGGATTGGTAGACAGAAATTGCTTCCCTTGTGAATCATGTTAGTGTAGGGCAGGATCACACTTCTGTAAAGAGTTGTAGTTGGTATCCCTCAAGCACTGCAAGAATAGTGGCTTGCTGGAGCAGGAGGTTGTAGACATCAATGGGTAAGCAGCGTCTTGTGTGATTTGCACAAGCAGGGTCTAGTGTGACCTGAATGTTAGGAAGGTTGAAGCAGAAACATCTTCTGTTTCATTGGCAGTGAAAGAAGTGGTCCCAAAACAAGAAAGCATTGTGAGTCCTGGTTCCGCACCACAAAGAAGTTGTAATCTGTGGAGAAGCTAGCCAAATGCTGAAGGCCAGATGCCTTTCCTACACAAGATTTTTCTGCCCTGTAGACAGAAAACTCCATGAGTCCTACAGATTTTCTTCCTAGCTGTTCTGCCATGAGGAGACATTGTCCCTTGGTGGAGCAGACAAGGTCCAGAAATACCAGCATCTTGGGTCTGCACAAGTCTTGGGCCACCATGCAGGCCAAAGCTACCTATGTTTAGGCTTCATGCTTTCACACAATAACCTGTCCCCACTTCTTCCAGTTCTCTCAGGGATGTCCTGTCTTGTTCTTCCCACAGATCACAGTCCTCTGTATCCTGCTGCCTCCAGCAGGGAGAAATGACTGTGTAGAGGGGAAATCCCCATAGGATAAGGGTGACCTAGTAAGGGAAATCAGCCCTTCCCAAAATTGGTTTCCCCTAGAACAGTGTAACCAGAGGAGAACATTGTAATGTGGGGTTGCTTAGCCCTTGGCCCATGGCATCATGTCGTCTGCCTGCAGGGCTTCTCATAGGTCTGGACATTTGGCAGCAGGGAAGTGGCAAAACCACTCCCATGCTCCAAATTTCTGGACCTGTGGGCAGCCGCGGGCCTGGTGTGCTGGATTGGCCACCTGATCCCAGCACACAGGGCTGGGCATGGGTGGTGCCAGGCCACTG